CTCACTAATGACGGTTTCGAGTCCGCATGGTTGGCTCTCCGCAGCCGATATGAAAATAATTGGCTTCTGGTTACCAACCAGATAAACATCCTCCTCTTTTGGCCCCGCGTAATTTCCGAGTGCAGTCGTGCTTTGAAGGATCTACAAAGTACTATGCAGGGGGTCCTAAATGCACTAGCTTTCTCCAACGTCTGTACCGACAATTGGGATAGTCTCCTAGTGACCATCTGCGCTTCCAAATTGCCAAAGTTGAGCCGGGCGTTATGGGAAGCGTCCGTAACGGACAAAAAGGAGGTGCCGCCCTGGAAGGAAATCGACTCCTTCCTGACTCAGCGATACCTAACGCTAGAGGCTATCGAGAGCGACCCATCCACTTCCCAAGGCGCTCCGAATCCGCCACCCGCCAAAGGCAGTCAGAGTCCGCCATCCTCCCAAAGCCAGTCCAATCCGTTCCGTTCCCAAGGCAGTCCTGTTCCAAGGACAGCGCACTCGTTCCAAAGCAACGTGAATCTGAGCAAGAGCACTTGTGATCTCTGTTCCAAGGATAATCACCCGATCCGATTATGTCCGCGCTTATGCACGTTCTAGTTGCATTAAGACAAACCAGCTGTGCCTAAATTGCTTCGCAAGAGGCCATCAGCTTCGCGACTGCTCAAGCTCTCACAATTGCAACACTTGTGGAGGACGACACCACACGCTTCTTCATCGTGGCAATCCAGCTTCCAGCGAGTCACATTCCACATCCGTACCCAATTCCACAGCTTGGCCAGACGTCAATCGACCAGTACCTTCCGCAGAAAATTCAAGTTCTCCTGAACCTTATCCTAACGTTCAGACGTATTTCGCCTCCGGCACAAGCTCTGTCCTTCTAGGCACGGAAATTATTAATATTTGCCACCTTGGGAACACCTTGGGGACTCGGGCTCCGAGGCAACGTTCATTACGGAACGCCTTTTCAACACGATTCAATTGCCATTCCAACGTATTCAGACACAGATCTCCAGCCTCAATCAGACAGTATCCGCTCATTCCGATAAGCTCTGTCAGTTGTCCATTCGCTCCCCAACGAGGCCGGGTTTACAATTAAACGCCACGGCCTATGTTATCCCGGAATTGGCAAAGAATCTTCCTTTGCATCCTATCTCGCCAAGTTTATTGAAAGATTTCCCGAGTCTTCCATTGGCGGATCCTACATTCTTCGAGAGCTCACCAATCGATGTCCTGATTGGAGCCGATATCCTACCATCGGTAATGTCAAGCGGCTTGCAGCCCAACATATGTGGCTCTCTTCTCGGCCAAGAAACCATTTTTTTTGGGTGCTCACTGGTCCCGTGTCCAATACGGCGAGCCATCAAGTTGGATCCTTTTCTTGTCGAATTTCCAGAGTAGCTTCCAATGTCCCAAATGTGCCCGTCATCCGTTCCAAGCTCACTTCTAATGCTTCTTCGACTTTTTCATTTCACCCTAGCCTTCTACATACAGACATGGCTGCTCGATCCCGTTTCGACCGCACCGTGGAGAGCAGACGTTCCCGAGGTACTAAGTTCTACCAATGCCGAGTCTGCTCAGAAATCCATCCTATACGGAAATGCCGCCGCTTTCTCCGCCTGGATTCCGAAAGGAGGCTCCAAGCTGTCCTCCACTTCAGCTACTGCTCCAATTGTATGGCTCACCGACACTCCGGCCAGGATTGCCGAAGCGGTGATCGGTGTACGGTGTGTAACCGGAGCCACCACACGTTAATCCACCTTTCCGAGTCTCGGCGCCCATCTTCCACCCCAAGCAAAACGGCCGGCTTTTGCACGCGACCATATATATACTACAATTAACCCTACGAATAAACTGTGAAGAAATTGGTACTAGCTGCCTCTTGCATTTATTTTGGGAGTCGATCCTGGGACTTCGCCGACCGCCTCTACGCTCAAACACTATGCTTGTGTGTGGGCTCTGAAATTTTTTTCCGCTTGAACTCAATTTCGGTTTATCGTTTTGTTTTGATGGGCTGATGTAGCGACCTGAGCTGATCTGCCGCAACATAAATGATGATTGGGCAGAGTGGGTGTGGGAGTGGGTGGGAAATAAATACAATTTATAACGAGAAGGAACGTGTGAGTCGCTTTTGGGGACGCAACTCTACATATACCCGTACTCAGTCAGTATATACATTTTTGAGCACACGATTTTTTAGAATTTTAGAATTAAAAAAAAAAATTTACATTTTACATTTGTTTGCTACATCTGCTATCTACATCTTCAATGTATATTTTACATCTAACATGTAGATTATAGATGTACCATTTATATTCTACATCTCCTCCGCTAGGGGTTGCTCGCGCACTGAACGCGGCAGAGTGTGCGAGCGAGAAAGCGAATGAGTCGTTGGCTGGATGGGGCAGGGAAAGCAACTGAAAATTAATTTCTTCATTCTGGCTATAATTATGATCCGATCTGATTCAGATTTAGCAATCTGGTAGATATGGTCATTCTCTACGATACTGCGTTTTTTGTTTTACCGCATCTTTAAAATTGTGCCCGCCACAATGGCTTCCGAAACAGTTAAAATTAATTTAGATGTAAAAAAGTTTTATTTTTTAAGATTCGAATTTATTTTAAAATTAAGAGCCTTTACAAAAGAATATCTATCCAAAAACAAAAACAACGTTTAATTTCAAATTCAAAATTATTAAAAATTATATTATAAAACGAGGGGACGCGACTCTACTTATACCCGTACTCAGTCAGCACATACATTTTTGAGCATATGATTTTTTAGAATTTTAGAAATAAAAAAAAAAATTTTACATTTTACATTTTTTTGCTACATCTTCTATCTACATCTATATATATTATGTATATTATACATATAACATGTAGATTATACATGTACCATTTAGATTCTACATCTCCTCCGCTAGGGGTTGCTCGCGCACTGAACGCGGCAGAGTGTGCGAGCGAGAAGGAAAATGAGTTGCGTTGTCGTTGGCCGGTGGGGGCAGGGGAAGCAACTGAAAATTAATTTCTTCATTCTGGCTATACTTATGATTCGATCTGATTCAGATTCGGCAGTCTGGTAGATATGGGCATTCTCTACGATAATGCGTTTTTAGTTTTATCGTATCTTTAAAATTGTGCCTGCCACAGATTTTCGTTCTTTGTGGGGGCGGAAGGGGGCGGGGCGAAATTTTGAAATACACTTGTAGCAGTGTGATATCACATGAGTCTGGAAACAAAATTTGGTTGCTCTAGCTTTTATAGTCTCTGAGATCCAGGCGCTCATCAAGACGGACAGACGGACATGGCTATATCGACTCGGCTATTGATGCTGATCAAGAATATATATACTTTATGGGATCGGAAACGTTTCCTTCTCTGCGTTGCACACATCCATTTTTACCACAAATCTAATATGCCCCCCTAATTGCATCATGGTAGAGCCCACACACAAGCATAGTATGTGTAAATACATGGCACACACACATTTACGTAACCTGGAAACGAAAATCAAAACAAACTCAAAACGGTTTTGGAAAATACCCTGCAGTACCAGAAGTGAGCGATGACAAATGTCAACTACGCGTCATTCAGGATTATTTCTCTGCCGCTGCTACAGACGAGTAGAATATGACGTCGACGTCGCGATCGACGCGTCGGTCAGACCAAACTCTTTTTTTTCTTTGTTTCTTTCTGTTACGACTCGTGCCGTAACAGAATTCGGTTTTGCCATCGGCGTCGACAACGTTGTTAGAATTGTGCGGTGAAAAGTGAGACGCAGGTTTTGTTTATTTTGGGCAAAATTATTATCAGGTAAGTGCAGTGTTTCATTTAATTAAAAATAGTCTATTGTGCGTTGTAAAAAATGAAGAAAATGTGCGAAATTATATGCGTTTTGGACGAAATTTTACATATTCATCAACGAAAACAAAAAAAAAACAACCCGAGTGGTTCTTGCGAGTCTTGAGTGGAACAGGTACATATGTATCTTGGCGAGTGTTTTGTTTTTGGCGCAAATGCACTGCTGATCTACTGAGAGCATTGTTAACAAATTGAAAAATATTTTAATTAACCCTCTTTTTTTAAAGGCGATTCAGTTGAACATGAGAAAATCAAAAAAACTAAAAAGGTTCTGTGGAAAAAAGAACACACAGCACACAAATGTGAATATGTATACATTTTTATAAGAAAACAATAAATAAAAGAAATTTAATATTTGAAAACAGAATTTACCCATGCCTTTTTCATAAAAAAAATCAACATTTTTTACTTAAATACATCACTTATTAGGGCGTTACTTTTTAAGGGAAATTCATCGCTTATTAAGGCCTTACTTTTCAATGGAAATTCATCGCTTCTTAAGGCCTGACTTTCGGCTAATTCTCGCTTACTATGTCATCGATTATGCTCCTAGGACATCCCTGTGTTAAAGTAAACAGCCCATCGTATGGCAGGTCATCGCTTATGTCATCGAGCTGCATGACGTTGCCATCGATGTGTGGTTGCTTACACATCGCTTACCCGTACTGCAGGGTAAGAATTCATAAATATTTTGTCATGTCTGTGTACACACATACACTTGCAATTCTCGGCTTGCTTTCGCATCTCGTCATGAATCGAACATGTCGAAAAAATGCCGAACGTCTCAGGCCCGCGACCCGAACGTCTCAGCACCACAGCCGAATGTTCCCAGCACCTCAGCCGAAGACCTGGTGGTGCTGGGACAGAAAACTCAGTTGCGACACGTTCGGTGTATGAACTGGAACATCTATATACTGTATGGTTAGTGACCTGAGTCAGCAACATCAATGCAATAATATGAATACCCTTTACTTTTAAAATTCCGTGCCTTGTATGATTTCAATAGCATATTCCTATACATTTTTGGTAGACCAAATATATTAATGAAGGTTTTCCGACAATTAAAAACTATTATCCGCTCGGAAAATTATTATAATAGATGGGTACATGCTTTAACAGTATGAAACATACATACATTTATAATAGTCATTATGCATTTAAGTACATGCCATTATACACATACACATGTATCTAGACATGTATGTAAGAAATATGTAGTACTTGGCACGTGCAAATGAAATTGGTTAGTCTTAGAATTAGTGTAGTGCTAACATAATTTGTTTAGCAGTTTAACAAATTATTGAAGATATGTCGACGTTGTTTTGAATGATAAATCCGAAATGTGTGCAACACGGTCATATCCAGAAGGTGATGAAGCAGTAAAAGTTTAAAATATTTTTCGAGCCGTGCCATTTACAAACTCTACCATAGGAGAAACAGTCATGATTAATCAAGAAGCCCATGCGCCCAAATCCACTCAAGACGGCAATGTTCAAGTAAGCGAACCCTGTAATTGAAATCTACAAAAATATATGTACTAACATACAGTGCTCGAATGGCACATATGTATGTAGACGACAAATGCATGTCTAAATCTTTTCAAGAAGGTATTAAAGTGCAACCATTTACACTCAATATATACATATGTATTCTTACATACATACATATGCACGTGTGTTAATACTTTCATCAGATATGATATTGTCGATAGCGTAAATTGAAAAGGATTTGTTTCTACGAAGTTACAGCCTGTGAGGAAACAGGATTCCAAAGAAGTTACAGGCTAAAAGCATGGCCGGCCTACAATAAAAATAAGAAAATGTTTTCAAAGAAAGTTAGGATCAGCTCGGAATTGTATACAAGTACATATGTATAGCAAAAACGTGTGAAGCGAAAAAATTCACATATCGCTTTAAAAATGTTCAAGATTGGTTAATTTTAAACGCATATCTTTTCAACCGTTTTGACAAAAAAGTTACGAAGTATAACACTAAAGCCATGTGTTGCATAAAAACAAAGACATGTATAAGCATTTAGAAACAGCTCAGTTTTGTAATGTCTTTGTTGGTATTGTGGATAAGACTCGTCGGACGAACACCACCCGTTTTACTTGCCTTCATATTTTTAGTCGCGAAATTGTCATAATTATTTCTCATTTCAACCTTCCTTTCCTCGGCAAAACGTTGTTTGTTGGGGTTGGTGGTGCCTCTGTGCATCATTCTAGTGTCATTATTGTGGTTCTCTAATGAGCTACTTTTTTCAAGTTGGCGGCCAGTTACATGGTCGGGCTGTTTCCGCATTTATTTGTGCCAGTACCTTCTGCTTTTATGTAGTGGCAGCTTTTGCTTCTAAAATGTGCTGCCCATTGTTTTTCTTTCCGTGCCTTTTAGAATACTTTTGTATACCGTGTCTTCTATCATTTGGAACACTTAAAGCTCTCTTACCATCATTAACAAGTCGACATAGACTTCTGCCTAATTGTCTACAGAAAAGTCTTAATTCTATGGTCTTGATTATCTTGGGTAGCCGACTACATTTTTTAATTTCGGCATGCCAAAGTTTTTTACCCTTTTTACACGACTTATAAATGAGTTTTTGGCTTCAATGACTCTCTAACGAAACCAACTATCTATGTTTGTATATTTCATTACTAAGGCGGCTTACAACTACAATCAACCATACAGTCAGATTTTTTAGTTGAAATTTCTAAAAAGTCGATTTGTTTATTTAGAATCTAAATTTTAGATGGATGTATATTTGTACAGTTTATTGATATGGTCAAAAATGATAGTGAAAGTATGTACATATGGGAGAGGTGCCGGTTGTGGACAGGGGCCTAGTTATTGGCTGTCAAGCCCGGTTCTGACACGTCATTGTACCTGTTGTGCACACCCTGTTTTTTTTTAATGCGTGTATTTGGTTAAGAAACTGCATTATATCGCTGTTTATGGTAATGGAGTACAAATAAATAACATTTAGACCACTGTGCATCTTTAACGAGCTACCTATCACTTTTGGAAGAAATTGGTCCTCTGCAAGTGGCTGAATCTGAATCGTCGTAGAAAGCCGATGGAAAGCTAGGTGCTTAATTTTTCTGAATGCATTGCTAAGCTATGAACGGAAGGCAACACTAGCCAAACAATACACTAAGCGCACCAAGGCTCTTTCGGACGCTGATCATGACTTTTGTCTCATCTGTCTGCACCTCCTCCGAAGGAAATTGACCGCCGCAATCTCCATTTAATGCAATGAATGTAGTCGTCCGTTTAAAGTAAGCTACTTCACATGCAAGCATTGCGAATCTGATTACGATAATGTTAAAATTGTTTTCTTTTTTGTTCTTTATGCCAGTGGGCTCTTATAACTTTTGGTTTCTTGTTATTTGTGGTGATTTCCTTTCATATTTTTTAATTATACTTACTAAATTCTGATACAATTTTTTTGAATAAACAAATCACTTTAGTTCCTTCACTGACAGCTTCCTAATACATCTTGTTTTAAATTGGTAAGCATATGTTTGCATAATCTGGAATTGTTCAGAAGTTAAGAGGCAAAAACAAAACTACATATGTATGTAGATACATATGTCCACAATCGGCACCTCTCGCCTACATATGTATGTAGAGCAGTGCTCGGCACGCATAGAGTGACATGTTTTAAAGTGCGCTTGTGTGTCTAGCAAAAGCCCGAAGATGCCTGCGACCGAAAACGTGTTGCTTAAATTGCGACAAACGATTTGTAGTAAAAGTTGCAATTATTTCGTGCTGATACTTTCGTGTGAAATAAAAACCGAAATAATATAATAACAGGCGACATAATAAAATATGATGCATTGCGCATTTTGTTCCCAATTTTCATTAAACATGTTTCCTCTCAGTGTCGCATCAAATAGTTGCGCAGCGTGGTCTTGCATTTGTCGACGGCTGAACACAACATATTTTATTTTCGTTCTCGCTTTGTGAAAAAAGCGAGACAACAAGAGTCGAAGTCTCATTGCCGAAGTCACACGAAGGCTTGCTGCTTTTTATACCCGTACTCAAAAAAGAGTTAAGGCAAAGACAATATAAGTATAAGATGCGGAACGCTCATACATTTCAATTGCCATATGCAAGCCAATTTTTTGGCCAGCGACGAAATTCGCGCAATCTCGCTCGCACAAATTTGAGAGCATACGAATCTAAAAATAGAATCCGCTTGCATGTGTGAGCACACGCAGAACCAGCAAGTGCGTATGTGTGCGTACTTTTGCGAAGCGGACTATTTTCGAGACGAAAACCTTTAAATGAGTTGAGAAACGAAATTATTTACTGGCGTTGAAAAGGGCTTGGTTAGGGGGGTGGGGGGGAACTTCTTTTACGATTGAACAGGATTGATAATAAATTAATATTAACATAGTTTAATTTATGTATGTACAAATGTATGTATTAACTATTTTATATATTTATTTTAAAATTATCCAGAAAAATATTCTAGCTCTATTAGTTTTTGTCGATTACACGTCAACACGATTTTTCCTAAGGAACAAAACGAACTTTTTCTAAAGATTTGGGGCTTAGAAATGGTTTGATGATATTTTTTCAGAACTAAAGGCCGCCTTTAGTTCCCATTTATGCAAAGAACGTAGCTATTTTGAAGAAGCTAATTGAAACAGCTAGAACGATACCAGACCCCGTGGGCTTAAACTTTGAAATGCAAAATGGTGATTCTTCATATTTTTTTACGAAATTCTGACTAAAATTTTGAATAAACAAAACACTTAGTCCCATGCGCTCCAAACTCTTGTTTTAAATTGGTAGCATAGTGCATAACGGGCGAGCACAAAACACATATGTAGAGATACATATGTCCACAATCGTAACCAAACCTAAAGTATGGAGAGCAGTGAACAAAAAGTACCTGTTTTAAAGGCGCGTGTGCCCAGCAACAGCCCAATTGTGAACAAAGAACGTGATCAAAGCGACAAACGATGTATAACCCTTGTTCGTTGTGCTTCTTCAAACCGAAGTATGGCAGGCGCTAAAAAATATTCTTGCATTTTTCCCAATCTTAGGCTGTTCCTCATTGTACCTCAAAAGTTGCGCACGTGGTTTTAATAGCGACCTAAACACAACAAATTACGCCGCTGGAAAAAACGAAAACATAGTGAAGACAAGACACGAGTCTTGCTGCTTTTTACCCGACTCAAAAAATTAAAGTCAAAGACATAAAAGTATACGAGCGAAAAATCATACATTAATTGCCATATGCAAGCCAATTTTTTGGCCAGCGACGAAATGCGCAAGCTCGCACAAATTTGAGAGCGTTAGGAATCTAAAAATAGAATCCGCTTGCATGTTTCAATTACGCAGAACCAGCAAGTGCGTATGTGTGCGTACTGCGAAGCGGACTATTTTAGAGAGCGAAAACCTAAATGAGTTGAGAAACGAAATAATTTACTGGCGTTGAAAAGGGCTTGGTTAGGGGGGGGGGGGGGAACTTCTTTTACGATTGAACAGGATTGATAATAAATTAATATTAACATATTTTAATTTATGTATGTCCAAATGTATGTATTAACTATTCGGTATATTTATTTTAAAATTATCCAGAAAAATATTCTAGCTCTATTAGTTTTTGTCGATTATAGGTGAAATCGCCTCTCGAATTTGCTACCGTTTTTGTAAATATGTATGTATGTAAATATTTATGTATATATGTACATATGTATGTATCAAATTCGTACCCAGGGAACACCACGAGGAGGTCATTACAATTTTAATGGGGTCATACATATATTCAAATGACCTTCGAGTCGACTTGAAATGCTTTAATGTTTTACATTAAAATATTTCCATGTTCCCCAACTAAGCTAGTTTTCTAACTAAAGTTTTTCGTTATTTTAGGCATATGTATATATTTGCTTTCAGTCGTCACTTATGAGATAGAATGCTAAGTTTAGCTTGCTTCTTTTGTCTATCAGCTATCACAGTCCACTTGCAGTGCTTAAAAAGTAAAACTTTAATAAGTTGGCTTAAAATATCTATTTTATGCATACAATATTCATTATTTGTATCAAACCATAATGAGTAATTACTACTTTCGTTAGTGCACTTAATGCACTGCTCTACAATAAATTTGCTAATACCAAGTGGCTTTTTAATATTTTTTAAAATATTTTCAAAAAAATAGACTTTCCCCACCACAACTTAAACTACTTTTTCACACGTCGCACGCTGAATACCCTAATGGCAATTATTCCAATGTGAAGTCATGTGTTAAATATATTATGTATTTTTATATATGTATATCCGATCATTATACCGAATCCGAATATACCATCTTAAAATAAATTATCGTTGGAGGGATATATACAATATAACAGTTTTTTAATATTAGGGTGGTAAGCGTCCTGCAAGATTAACTTACACTTATAAAGTGAAGGGTATATTTCGACAGCGCTGTAAAAAACGTATGCATGTGCACACATACAGTCGTCGCGACGACTCGGCTCAGCTCTAGAGCCAGCATGCAAAATTCGTGTGATAAAATTTCGTATGGCGTTATGTATCTTATACATATTATACCCGTACTCAAAAAAGAGTTAAGGGGTATATTAGATTTGTGGTAAAAGTGGATGTGTATAACGCAGAGAAGGAAACGTTTCCGACCCCATAAAGTATATATATTCTTGATCAGCATCAATAGCCGAGTCGATATAGCCATGTCTGTCTGTCGGTCTGTCTGTCTGTCCGTCTTGTTGAGCGCCTGGATCTCAGAGACTATAAGAGTTAGGGTAACCAAATTTGGTTTCCAGACTCATGTGATATCACACTGCTACAAGTGTATTTCAAAATTTCGCCCCGCCCCCTTCCGCCCCCACAAAGGACGAAAATCTGTGGCAGGCACAATTTTAAAGATACGATAAAACGCAGTATCGTAGAGAATGACCATATCTTATAGATTGCCGAATCTGAATCAGATCGGATCATAATTATAGCTAGAATGAAGAAATTAATTTTCAGTTGCTTCCTCCGCCTCCCCCAGCCAGAGACACGCTACTCATTCTCTTTCTCACTCGCACACTCTGCTGCGTTGAGTGCGCCAGCAACCCTTAGCGGTGGAGATGTAGAATATGAATGGTACATCTATAATCTACATGTTAGATGTAAAATATACAATGTAGATGTAGATAAGAGATGTAGCAAAAAAATGTAAAATGTAAAATTTTTTGCTACCGAATTTTACAAAAAATTGTAATCAAGAAAATTAAAAAAAAATTGTTTGCTGAATGAGTTGGATAATTGGTTAAATCTATTGCATATATATTGATACCATTCATATCGTCATTAATCAGTTATTGGCAGTAAGAAACATGCACAAGTTTTTGCGAACTAGTTAACTAAATATATCAACCTCAGCTGAACTTCTTGATTTCACCAATCGTTAAAAGTTTTAACCGTTAATAAAAAAAAAAAAAAAATACTCTATTATCAATATAAACGAGTTTAAATATTATTTGAAAAAAACCAGAGTAATAAATTTGTTTTAATGTACATATATTTAACCAAAAAAAAGTTTATTTTCTCTTCGTGGTAGCAAACCCCCAAACTAAAAGATTTGAAAAAATTTTATAATTTGATTTACTAACAAAGAACAGAATATAAGGGTTTCCGCTTGTAAAAAAAAAAATAAACATACATACCATACATACATATATGTAATATAAATGGCAAGGGCTAGAAATAACGGAGAACCAAGTAAAGGAGACGGTAGAAGAAAATACACTGAGAACAATATTGTAGTCAGTTCCTGCACAGCCCACTGACCAGAATTCATTGAAAATAATCTTACGATCCGCAATATACATAAATGTTTCTTTCCAGGTGTTATCAACAATACAGAAAGATCTATCACCATTGCCCGAAAAACGTAAGACTATCACCGAGGACAAATCAACTGATACAAAGAGAGTCAAATTAGACACCAAATCTCTCAAAACTAAAAGACCTGGCTTGACCGATGAAAAATATGACGAGACGTCTTATTATTTTGAAAACGGTAAAAACGTTAGCTTTAAATAAATATAGTTTTAATGTTTTTCTACACCTTTAAGGCCTTCGGAAGGTTTATCCTTATTTTTTCACGTTCACAACATTTACAAAAGGGCGTTGGGTTGGCGAGAAGATCCTAGACGTGTTTTCTCGTGAGTTCCGTGCGCATCCTGCTGAAGAATATAAGCGCAGTATAGAGACTGGAAAACTAACCGTAAATTATGAAAAAGTTTCTTTAGACTATAGACTCAAGCACAATGATTTACTTTCAAATATCGTTCATAGGTAAATGCGAATATATTCATGCACAAAACACGTGACAAAACTATAGTTAAATGTATTTTGTATTATAGGCATGAAGTTCCTGTCAGTCTGCAGTCTATTACTATAGTTCACATGGATGAAGACATTGTGGTTGTAAATAAGCCGGCCTCAATACCAGTAAGTCCATTAAAACTCAATAGCTAATCCTAACAAAATTTCGTTAAACAAAAAAAATTACCAGGTACACCCGTGTGGTCGGTATAGACATAATACTGTCGTGTTCATACTGGCCAAGTCGCACAACCTGAAGAACCTAAGAACTATACACCGACTAGATCGTCTTACATCTGGACTTCTTATATTTGGGCGCACCTCAAAGAAAGCCCGGGAATTGGAACAACAAATACGAAATAGACAAGTACAAAAGGAATATGTTTGTCGCGTGGAGGGTCGTTTTCCAGAGTAAGCTACGCAAATACCGTAGGAATTATAAAATACACGCTGTATACTTTTTACAGTGGAATAATTCAATGCAATGAACCTATTCAAGTTGTCAGCTACAAAATTGGAGTATGTAGGGTATCGCCAAACGGCAAAGACTGCAAGACAACGTTTCAAAGGATTTCTGAAGTTGGTGACTGCAGCATTGTTCTCTGCAAACCACTCACCGGACGCATGCACCAAATAAGAGTACATCTACAATATTTAGGTAAAAATTTAATAAGGAGCGTTTGTAATGATGATAAGAACAAAGACTCGTTTATTGGCAGGTTATCCTATTGTAAATGATCCCTTGTACAACCACGAGGTGTTTGGTCCCTCTAAAGGACGAGGAGGCGACATCGGAGGAAAAAGTGACGATCAGCTGATTAACAATCTAATAAAAATTCATAATGCCGAAAACTGGTTGGGAGTTGAAGAAAGCGTAGATGTTCCAATGGGAAATATATTAAAATGTGAACTTAAAAATTCTGTAGAAAATGAAGGTTTAATGGAGATAGGAGCTCCAATTAAAAATGTATGTAAAATGTCATCTCTTGAAACAGAAGTTCTTTAAAAATCATCTTCCTATTTTAAAGGTTACCACACAAACTGGTCACGAAGAGGCAATCGACCCGTTTGATCGTGATAAAACAACATATGATCCATATTGTCATGAATGCAAGGTTAACTATAGAGATCCCAATGCCAAAGATCTGCTCATGTACCTGCATGCTTGGAAATATAAGGTTAATCACATATTAATATTTTTTTAATTTCCTGGTTCATTTAAAAAACAATGTCCAAAGCTCGAAATACCCGTAAATGTGTTTACATACAAATATAGTAGCGAATGTGTCTAAAACTGAAGCCGTTTCCGCACCATAATGTTTACAAGAAAACCATTGTTACGTAAATATGTTACAAAAGCCAGATTTTATCAGCCTCTCTTATTAAAAGGTACACAGGAAGGCTCCGGCTTTCACTTACTCTGTGGCAGGCACAATTTTAAAGATACGATAGAACTACAAACGCAGTATCGTAGATAATGCCCATATCTACCAGATTGCCGAATCTGAATCAGATTCAGATTTTCAGTTGCTTCTCCCGCCCCCTCCAGCAAGAGAAACGCTACTCATTCTCTTTCTCGCTCGCACACTCTGCCGCGTTCAGTGCGCGAGCAACCCTTTTTTAAAATTCTAATAAATTGTATGCTCAAAAATGTATATGCTGACTGAGTACTTCCCGTACTCGCGTCCCCAGAAGCGACTCGCACATCAGTAACACTTGTCAACACCACAACTAGGCTGTGCCCCAAAATGACTTTTTCTTATAGATTTCGGTGTTTAAAATTTTTTAACGAATTATGGTTTTTTTATGGTTTAGTTTTTTTTAAACGAGCAAGGGTTGTACATTTGGTACAAATCTGGTCCTTTTTTTTAATTGGGTTGGGCTTTCAAAAAGGTATTTTTTGTTCATTTTTTCCATTCAGTTTGGTTAACGAATTTTAGCCAAGTCTCTCTGGATTTTAATGAGCGATACCTTAAACGTCGCCAAGTCCCATACAGAAAAGAGGGACACAAGATGCAATTTTTTGCGACTCTAATTTTTAAAGTCAAAATCTCCTGGAAGGTTTTAATTGCATTTCAATGCTTAATTTCCTAGCGAAATCTCAAAGTGTTGGCATCAACTTCTAGTGCGTCAATTATTTTTCAAATCGAAATTCTTTAGAACCAGACTTAAGATACTAGGAGTGAAAAAGGCTCTGAAAAAAGAAAAAAAAATACTGGTTTTCAAAAATTCTTTAAAAAAAGTTTTGCCATAGAAAAAATATCATCAACTTTCTAGGCCCCAATCTTTAAGATTGGTTTTGTTCCTTGAGGAAAAATCGTGTTACTAGTATAATCGGTAAACTTGCAGCCGTTTAACCAAAACGACTCAAAACTAATTTTACCTGAAATTAGTGCTTTTATTATTCACATAACTTAAGTATCGTATATCTGGTTGCATAGAACTTTACAGTTCTCAAAAACGGACAAATGCAGCTATAAATCGGACCCAGACACTTTGTATCTGCAACTTAACGCCTGGAGGATATTAAGCCAAAAAATTTGAATTACAAAAAAAAAAAAAAAAGTACCACAAAAATGTATAAATCCCGAAGTATATCAGAAAAAGTGATTTTGGTCCACAGCCTAAAGAAAAAGTTCACTTTTGTTGAGTAGTGTAATTAATGTTAATATAAAAGCAATATTAGTATACACATACATATGTACATATACAGCAAAAAAGTGCAAAAAGGATCTTGTAATCAGAATGTTATTGCATTGTAATACAGGTATAAAAATATTTTTATTTTCAGGGTGTCGACTGGGATTACAAAACTGAGTTGCCGGACTGGGCTTGTAAAGAGCTCATTAATTATGATATACTATAGACCAGTCGTGGAAAAAGGAAACTGTTCTGCTGCTAGGTTATAGAAGAAGCAAGCAGTAAGCAAGAAAACGTACGGCTTCGTACCTGTTTGTACCAACAAATACATCTATTTTAAAACCAATCAATGTATAGTTTTGTATGGGGGTCCCACCAATGCACTATGGGCAAAAAGTCCGTTTTTTGGCATCATTACCAATTTTGAAGATAGAAACATGAAACTTTGTACATATACTTAAAAAATAAAGGTAGAATTTCGGATTTATTTGTTTTTTCAGTTGGACCACGCCTTCCTTCCCGCCCACCTCACCATAGGGTTAAAATTTTCAAATTTTTGTCTACAATTATGTTTTAAAATATTTCAATAAATGACTTTTTAATAATGCATTTTTAGCAATTCCTATTTTAAAGTTGATTTGGATCCCTGCAAAATTAAATCAAACATTAGTTGAAGCCCAATATTAAGTTTTGTGACGCCATACCTTGATACCGAGTTAATAATTTATTCATCCCAAAACTCTTCCTCCAACTCCAGGGTATCCAGCCCGAAAATTTCGATTTCATCATCTCCGTTTTCTTCTATCTGATTATTATTATTGTCTTTACATGCTTTTGTTGTTGAAAGCTCAATATCAGGAGATTCCAAAAGAGCTAAAACTTCTGTCGGTAGCCTTTTTTTATGGTTTAAGCTTTGGCGTTCCTTCAGATTTATAAAAGATAGAAGTGGGTCAGAAGAATCTAATGCAGCGATACTTCAACTTTCGTTTCAGAATAAGTTATTTTGTCTTGTTCTGGTCTGCATTTTAATTTCATCTTTGTAATTTCTGAATACGGCGGATAAATATCGCATCCATGCAGCTTATTTATGGCTTTTATATTAATGTATTGTTGTTTTGTTAGATTATTTTCTATTAAAAATGCTAAAGCCTTTTCAGGACTTATTTTGGTGATTTCATTATGGTTCGCTATGCCAGTTTTTTTTTCGCTATTCAATGCTTTTTGCAGTAAAAGAGAAGTGCCGTCCTTTTTAAATTTTTTTGCCGATACAGAAGCAGCATGCAACAACAGTGGCATTGAATTTTCGGTTTCATTGACCAGTTCAGATGCTAATTTTCGCTTTAACCTGGGTCCCTCAGAATAGGTCAAACGTTTGCGACCAGGCTTTTCGCGTGGAGTATCATCCTTATGAAATTCAATTTTGAACGAGGATGCAAGCCATTTCGCATGCTTTTCTTTAAAGCGGTCGAGCATTCTGTTGCATTTTGGCAAATAAGTGTTTATAAATCCGAAAAACTGCATAAGTTTATCTTTTATTAAGTTTTGCTGAACATCACTTAATTTAGTTTCATGAATATTTTGCAAAACAAACTGCTTCACAGCATCTTGTTGGCGGTTGTTGTCGCTCCAAACATCAAGCAATGTTGAATGGCAAAACGTAAATGCATCTGAAACATTGAGTATTGCCGTAAATCGGGGCAAAAACGGGCAAAAATGTTATCCACTATTTGATTGTTAACAGTTTAATTAGTAACATTCAGCATTAGAATTACCTCAAGTGTCCTCCATGCACAAGTTACACTCCACAGAAACACAAATACATTTGTTAGTAGGGACATAAAAACATACCAACAACACATTAAACAATTGGACAATATATTACATGCTACTGTTAGTGCTAATAGTTTATTTTACATACTTTGACGATTAAATTCCATGTTTAAACTTTTTTGTTTTGTTTACAATTTCATAAGAAAATTCACACCAAAAATCACAAGCTTTTGCGCAAATTTTGTTTTTTTGAGTGGCCATATAATAGTCTTTCAATTTTGACAAATAACAAAATACCAACGAAGTCAAAAAAATATTAAAAATATGTTTTAGTATTCTTAAAGTATTCTAATTCAGAAAATACGGTCAATTTGATAATACGGAACAAAAAAAAATGTAAAAATGCCAAAATATGGGACTTTTTGCCTATAGTGCAATTAATTAGACTATAACATTTCGCAATCAACATCTCGTCAGCAGAGACATCGAGGCAAACGTTTTAATTTGTTGTGAAAGAAGTGTTTTTATACCCGTACTCAAAACAGAGTTAAGGGGTATATTAGATTTGTGGTAAAAGTGGATGTGTATAACGCAGAGAAGGAAACGTTTCCGACCCCATAAAGTATATATATTCTTGATCAGCATCAATAGCCGAGTCGATATAGCCATGTCTGTCTGTCCGTCTGTCTGTCCGTCCCGATTAGCGCCTAGATCTCAGAGACTATAAGAGCTAGGGCAACCAAATTTGGTTTCCAGACTCATGTAATATCCCACTGCTACAAGTGTATTTCAAAATTTCGCCCCGCCCCCTTCCGACCCCACAAAGGACGAAAATCTGTGGCAGGCACATTTTTCAAGATACGATAAAACTAAAAAAGCATTATCGTAGAGAATGACCAGACTGCCGAATCTGAATCATATCGGATCATAATTATAGCCAGAATGAAGAAATTAATTTTCAGTCGCTTCCCCTGCCCCTTCCTGAGAACGACAACGCAACTCATTTTCCTTCTCGCTCGCACACTCTGCCGCGTTCAGTGTGCGAGCAACCCCTAGGAGGGATGTAGAATCTGGACAGCAAATGGTACATGTAGAATATACATAATATATGTAGATAACAGATGTAGCAAAAAAATGTAAAATGTAAAAATTTTTTTTTTAATTCTAAAATTCTAAAAAATTATATGCTTAAAAATGTATATGCTGACTGAGTACGGGTATAAGTAGAGTCGCGACCCTCGTTTTATAATATAATTTTTAATAATTTTGAATTTGAAATTAAACGTTGTTTTTGTTTTTGGATAGATATTCTTTTGTAAAGGCTATTAATTCTAAAATAAATTCGAATCTTAAAAAATAAAACTTTTTTATATCTAAATTAATTTTAACTGTTTCGGAAGCCATTAACAATACGTAATATTTTTTGTGCACAAGGGTTAAGGCTTCCGAAAAAATTTCCTCGCACTGAACGTTAAGGGACTAAAGACCGAACGACGACGAGACCACCTTATATAATTGCATCATGCTCTAATGTGCACAGGAAAAAGCGCTGCTGCTGCGTTGCCGGTACACGTACAGTATCAAAAGCAGCAAGCCTTCGTGTGGCTTCGGCAATGAGACTTCGACTCTTGTTGTCTCGCTTTTGTTGGCTGGGAGGTCTCTTCCCCGGAGTTGTGTATGGCTAGTGTGCCAAAGACTGCGCAAGTCTATTAGGATGGGCCTTAAGCTTGACCTAATACTTAGCTGTTACCTTGGCGATTTCATCCTTAACAGATTTTAAATTTAAGTCTATCATCAAGGCTCCGGTTTTCACTTTCACAAAAAAATGTGATATACTTTTCAAAACGAAAAGTCAGGCGCTGGCAAATGCAGCTATAAATCGGACCCAGACACTTTGTATCTGCAGCTTAACGCCTGGAAGGTATTAAGCTTTCAAATTCAAATTTCATAATTTTTTTGCGGTATTTTTTTTTTTAATTTTGACTTTAAAAACTCGGGAAAAGTCGAAAAATAAATAATTCTTGGCATGAATTTTTAGTTTGAGATAGACGCATTAATTAGGCGTCGTTTAAGGTATTGCTCATTAAAACTATGGATAAACGGTCAACTTGCAGCCGTTTGACCAAAACGACTCAAAACTAATTTCACCTGAAATTAGTGCTTTTATTATTCACATAAATGAAGTATCTTATATTATCTGGATAAACGGTAGAGCTAAAATTCGTTAAACAAACCTCAAAAGTGAAAAATAGACAAAAAATACTTCTTGGAAGGTTGCGGGCCCAACTGCCAATTGGAAACAAGGCAAACGAAGGGGTTGGTACGAGTTCCTTTGGCATTACACCAGCAACGGTATTTTTCAGGTAAAATTAGTTTTGAGTCGTTTTGGTCAAACGGATGCAAGATGACCGTTTATCCATAGATATTACGGAACAATACCTTTAACGACGCCTAATTAAAGCGTCTATCTAAAACTAAAAATGGTGGCCGGGAATTATTTTTTTTCGACTTTTTCAGAGTTTTTAAAGACAAAACTTTGAAAAAAAAAATACCGCAAAAAATGATTAAATTTGAATTTGAAAGCTTAATATATTCCAGGCATTAAGCTGCAGATACAAAGTGTCTAGGTCGTATTTTAAGCTGCATTTGTCAGCTTTTCAGAACTGCAAAGTTCAATGCAACCAGATATAAGATACTTAAGTTATGTGAAAAATAGAAGAACTACCTCTGAAAAAAACCATGAAAAATAACCAGATTTTAAAAATAGTTTAAAAAAAAATTACACCATAAAAAAAAAAACGAGAAGGAACATGTGTGAATCGTTTCTGGGGACACGACTCTACTTATACCCGTACTCAGTCAGTATATACATTTTTGAGCTTATGATTTTTTAGAATTTTAGAAAAAAAAAAATTTACATTTTACATTTTATTGCTTCATATTTTATATACATCTACAATGTATATTTTACATCTAACATGTAGATTCTACATGTACCATTCATATTCTACATCTCCTCCACTAGGGGTTGCTCGCGCACTGAACGCGGCAGAGTGTGCGAGGAAAAGAAAGGAAAGGAAAATGAGTTGCGTTGTCGTTTACGGGAGGGGGCAGGGGAAGCAACTGAAAATTAATTTCTTCATTCTGGCTATAATTATGATCCGATCTGATTCAGATTCGGCAATCTGGTAGATATGGTAATTCTCTACGGTACTCGTTTTTTGTTTTATCGTATCTTTAAAATTGTGGCTGCCACAGATTTTCGTTCCTTTATGGGGGCGGAAGGGGGCGGGGCGAAATTTTGAAATACACTTGAAGCAGCAATTTGGTTGCTCTAGCTCTTATAGTCTCTGAGATCTAGGCGCTCATCAAGACGGACAGACGGACGGACGAACGGACGGACAGACAGACATGGCTATATCGACTCGGCTATTGATGCTGATCAAGAATATATATACTTTATGGGGTCGGAAACGTTTCCTTCTCTGCGTTACACACATCCACTTTTACCACAAATCTAATATACCCCTTAACTCTTTTTTGAGGACGGGTATAACTAAGTAAGGGAGAGG